TTCTCTCTCTTTGGAGTGTTTTGTGACTATGCGTCTCTCAAGGAATTTTCAGATAGCAAGATTCAGAGTTGGTTTCTCTGTGTTCAGACCATAGCAAGCCAGTTTTGGTCGCAACAAAAATAGTGACTTATTCTCCAAATAAAATCTTACTCCATAAAGACTTTCACATCATTTAGAACGGTAAGGAGTACTGCAATAAATGTATTCTAGTTAATGATTACTTTCTTTGAATAATATTAATTTTTTTTCTACGAGTTGATCATGGATTGTTATCAGTTAGAGAACCATTGAAAACCAGGGAGTACTGGACAGCTGTTTCATCCTAGTTTGGGAATCATTGGCAGTACGCACCCACTGGGGTTCGAACCCAGGAGGACCTTACGGTTACAAGGCAAGCTCGTATACCATACCATTCAGCCACTCACTGGGACTCGATTCAATGACTCATGAATTCTAACTTCTGTGATTTAGCGTGACCCCAACCAATGTCAATCCGTGATCAACTCGTAAAAAGCTAAACTAACCCTTACAAACCAACTCTAGAGAATTAATCTGATGCTCGCTAGTGACTTGCTACAGGATGGAGTTTCCTGGAGTTTTAGTGAGAAGTCGTGACTAGTGAGATCCATCCAGTCACGTATGCGGATTGATGTTCCACTGATGACATTGGTTGGGGTCGTGCTAAATCACGAATTGGTAGAAGTTAGAATTTATGAGTCATTGAATTGGGTCCCAGTGGCTGAGTGGTATGGTATACGAGCTTGCCTTGTAACCGGAAGGTCGTGGGTTTGAACCCCAGTGATTCCCAAACTTGGATGAAACAGCTGTCCCTGGATTGTTTTCAATGGTTCTCTAACTGATAACGATCCGTGATCAACTCGTTAAAAACAAAACTAACCCTTACAAACCAACTATAGAGAATAATATTAATAACAATATTGAGGATGTAAATAAAGCCTAGTTACGTATGCATTGTATTCCTGGTGATTGTCCAGTCCAGTCCAACTAATTCACAAAATCTACCTATATGATATCTGCTTTACTAATTACTGAATTGTAAATTTGGCATTGATTCGATTTATTTGACTAAAGAAATTGTATACGATAAAGCCTACCGATTAAAATAGTAGAATAAGAACAACTTAAATCTGTAGATTTTATGTTTAACATTGTAGACAATTGCACCTGTTCTGTTATACTACAGAGGCAAATGTTGCTATTTGTATTTCAACTAGTCTAAACTGTGTATAACTGTCAGTCAGATAAGCATACTGTTCACCTATTATTATTATTATTATTATTATCTAGTTTTATATGAAAATGTATGATAATATAACCACTGTAGATTTAATATCTTTAAAACAAAATTATAATCGCTATCTATCAGTAAAATAGTTTATTATAGTATAGATTGAAAGTGTATTCATGGGGTGTATGTAGTTAAATTACTATAAATTTTGGTAACTCTAAACTATAGCAAACCAAACGGACGTAATAACGTTGATCAACCAATCAGGTGAGTCCATACTAAATAGCTGTAGTACATGAATTATGTTGCAAATCCTAACAGCAGGTAGTAGTAGTAGTCCATTATCCTAATGGACTTATCGGAAGGTTGTAGATATGGAGGAGTAATCTCTTTACAGAGGCATGCAGCCGTTTATGGATATATACATAAGTTCAAGCTGTTGTTACAGAAAATCTGTCCAAGAAAGTGTGTCGTTTACATTTTAGATTCATGGGTGCTGTAGAGCAGTGATGAATAGGTCACAAAACAGCATACCGTACAGTTATCAGGATGAATTTATGTACAGAAATAGGTTTCGACTATCTCTGCAGACTGCAATAAGGAATTAAGAGGTTTTCTTTGGACACATACGAGAAAGTTACCCGGTAAAACTAATTTTTTTTTGACATTAACTTTGATGTCTATAAAAAGTTTTTAAAATTACACGGATATATTGCGGGTTCATCTGATTGGTTGGTTGTCGAAGTCATTACGCCCGTTTACTTGGGTTGTTCGTTTTAGTCGTTATAGTTTAGAGTTACCTAAAGTTCTTCTCTAGCTTATGCCTGATAGTACAGTTCCAACAGTGGGAAGACATAATTCAAGGGTTCTTAAGGGCGCTTTGGTTCCGGTATGATTTCACTTATTTCAGTCTATGCAACCTAGCAGTATGACCAGTCCTCACACATGAAACACCTGGCCCAGATAACGGAGTTCTAACAATCATTGTAAAATTCCATTTTGTCTAAATGTTGCATAAAGAAGTTCTCCTTAAGTATTTCATTTCCTCTGACATAATTACTGAGTGCGTCGGTGGCACAGTGGTTAAAACGCTCGCCGATCATGCACATGGTCCGGGGTTCTATCCCCAGCCGACGCACTCCTTTACCTCGCCAAGCTAGTAATAGAACTGACAAAGAGGGAAGGTTGGCCATGAGGCTAGCAACCTCATCCTGTAAAAATAAACACCACTGCTACAGAAACTTCAAGCCTCTAGCTTGAAGCCCTATGTTCCACTGGGAACGTGAAGGAATAAAAATAAAATAATTACTGAGTGTATCTTTCAGAATGTGAACACTTGACATAATTTCTTCTTCATAGACTTCAAAAAATAGTCAGTGTTTCAAATTAATGAGAACAAGTTACGTAGTTCGGCGAGGAGGCTGTTTTCGGCAAATTCATTTTCCTCTTTAGCTGTAGAGTAGTCGCATTTATGTACATTTTTTTCATGAAATAGGGTAGCAGCAAAAGTGATAAGTTCCCGTAATTATAAATGTTTGTAAATATTCAATGCATAAAAGGAGTTGAAAAAGTGTATTAGAGTTACGCAACAAGACGAATAATTTAATGAGTGAGTTGCAATCAGAATGCACATAGAAATGAAGGAAAATGTAGAATTATGTAAGAGTTCTAAAGAAATACAAGGGTTGTGAAGAGTTAGAAAAACCAAACAAACAAAAATCGAGACAGTAGAAACCAACAAGGTTTTGTTACCATGATAGTAGAAGTGGTTGAATAATTTTTTTTTGTTTTTGTATGCATAGCTCCGGTTTTTCTAATTGAATGGCTAAAGCTTCATTAATGCAAAAAGCAGACGCAAAAACGCATTGCCTTTGGCAGGTTAGTCTTCACTTTGTAGATTACTCTGAAAGAGGCGTTTGTTGAGATGGAATGACCAGTGCTGACAAGGTATTCGATTATCACACTCCTTATACAGGCACTGCAATCATGAGAGATAGTGTTCTTAAACCCTTTTAGACTGGATCTGCATCCATTTGGATTTGATTCACCGAAAACGGGTAATTGGATGAGTCTTTTGGTACAATTCATATTCATAATTAAGTATATTTACACAATTGTCGGCATATTTCACTAATAAGTAGAATAATTTGACAGCTCTTCTTATCACTTAAGGATTGGTTGGTGGTTCAGCAGTAGAACGCTCGCCAACCATGCACATTGTCCGGAGTTCGATTCCCGGCCGACGCATTCCGAAACGTTGCTAAGCTGGTAGTAAGGCTGGTAAAGAAGGAAGGTTGGGTGTGAGACTGGCAACCCCACCTCCCACGTAAAGGAATAAAATAAAATAAAATCACTTAAGATGATTGAAATGCATATCCCTTTTATCACCATATGATCGAATTTGTTATTTAAGAGCTTATTAAAAGTGGTAAACAGAATTATTGAAATGTTTCACCATTTCACTCATATTTCTCTTATGCTAAAAAGTAAACTGGATAACATTGAGTCAGTCAGTCTTGTATATCTCTGCAATTATCTCCTCTCTTTCTATGGTTTATATTGCTTGTTATGATTGAATGAAAATTAATCTGTTAATATGAAAAGTTGCTAACACTGTAGGTTGATTGATTTGCCGACTGATAGAAAATCATGTTGTGTTTATTTCTTCTTTTTTGTTTAACCATTAGCTTGTCAGTTATTGTTTCTATCAGCATGCACTTTTTTCTTACTAAATAATCATACTATTCATAGTCGACCATATCGATGTTGGCTTTCTTCCACCTATTTCTAGTCTTTGTATATTCATAAAAATAGTCGATTACAAGACATTTGAAAAAAAATTTGTTCTTCCCTACGTTTCTTTTTTAATTAAACAGAACAAATTTATTTGTTTAAAGTGAATGCAATTTATTCTTACTAACAGTGAAACTGAGGCCTCATTGATCTAGACATTCTGTCGCGTGTGTTATATAGATGCAGATTGATACGAAGCGACCAAAAGTTGGAATAATCTCATTGGACAACTTTTCATGCCTTCGTTTGGCCTTGGGCCAGTCTCCAACCAATCAGAACAGTTTATTGTCTGTTGACTCAGCTGACTTTTAGTGTGGTTAAAAATGTATAAATATGATGCGTTTTTCTCTAATTAAAAGTCTGTAACCACTTCTTATCTTCTGCTGTTACAGTTCGATTTCCAATCAGTGGCCATGAGTTTGAACCCTGCTCTGCCTATCAGAGTTTCGGCAGCTAGATAGTATCACTAACCCTTACACAATACATATTGCTCATTGTCTACTGCATGGAGCCGCAGTTGATTGTAAAGTTGTAATGTAACGGCAAGAGACAAGAGACTTGGTAAAGGAATATTCATCTGCAATTTGGTATCTCCGTATAGCGGAATTATGTACACCTTATCTCCAAATCACCATTTGCACAGATCTTCCGTGTTGTCCTACTTCTGTCCTTCATATTGTTTTTCTTTGTGTTCGTTTCCACGTCTCCCATGTTTCTCCGCAACGCTGAATCATTTGCGTTCTTTGACGTCAAATCCATCTCCCTGCTATTTGATATTTTCATTCCGATGAACGTCTCTTTATATACTACTGATAAATCCTATTAGTAGCACACGTCACAGTAACACTTCATTTCAATCCTTTTTTAATATATGACAACGCTTGTGTATATCATTTTTGTATTGTAATTCAATTGTTTTTTAGTCTTATCTTCCACTCCTATCTTTTGATTTTCCTAGTGCCAATGGAAGCCTTAACAGCTGATGTAGCTGCATTAGTCTCTGGCATGTCTCAAGCTGATAAAGAGACAATTATTTCTGGTTCATTGAAAACACCTCAACGTTTATCAGACTTCGTCAATGATAACCGGGCGAAAGTAGAGACTATTGAAAAAGAAGCTGAGACTGCACGTAACATATTTGCTAGAACAATTGAATGGTTCGGTGAAGCTCAAACAAAGCCTAGTCCAGAACAATTCTTCGGTTTAATTGTACGATTTATCAAGCAGTTCAAGGTGAGGCTTTTTGTTGTTTATTTCCGCTCTCATTTTTTCGAGTCCCGAGTCGAACATAGGGGTCTCAATGCTTTTGAAGTTTCACATTAGCGGTGGTGTTATTCTTCTTTGTGAGGAGGGATTTCTAACCACGCACCCATCTATACCTTTCTCCGAACTTACTACGGGCTAAGCGAGGTTTAGGATTGAGTGGGTTGGGAATCAAACTTCGACCTCCTGTGCGACTAGTGAGCATTCTACTATTGAATCAGCAAAGCACTTAGTCCTTTCACTAGTGAATACAGATTTTTGTTTGCTTTATTATTGGTCTTCATTAGTGAATGAACTCTATGAATGTTTTAGAAGTGCGTCGGTTGCACAATGTTTAGGACTCTCACCGATCATGTACATGGTCCGGGGTTCGATCCGCTGCCGACGTACACCTGATATCAATGGTTGGTCTGCAAAATTTGGGCTACCGATATCCCATGCTGAAAATTCCATACTTCTACCAAAAAGTACTGTGTGGAATCAAACTGTAATTAAAAAAATCAAGTTAATTGGTGGATGGTGAATAGCAGTGGAATCCAGGATGCTTATTTCCTCCTATTTGGGACTCGTCATCTGGATTTACCTGCATTCCGCAGTGATTGATGGTGTTCCCACCGAGGCTCGAACCCAGTGCCCATAGTTTCAAACGCCAAGGAGCCGACATGTCAACCTGAGAACGAGCACTTCGGTTCAATCAATCGACGGGAAAATCTAGAATTGTATTATGTATCATTATATTGTGAATGTTTTGCCTGATTTCTTAATGTTTCGAGAAAAAGAATGGGACGTCGAAATACGATATCCTGAAAATTATTGTATTTTTCATAATAAACTCCGGTAGTGATGTAATAATAGTCAGTTCTCAAGTATTGGTTTTGTAGGGATTTTGTTTGATTGCATGGAGGATTTCATCATGAGCTAACATCAGTTAGAGAACCACTGGAAAATCTGGGAGTACTGGACAGTTGTTTCGTCCTAGTTTGTGACTCTTCGTCAATACGCACCTACCGGGGTTCGAATCCAGGACCTCCTGGTTACAAGGCCAGCTCGTGTACCATTGAGCCACTCGGACCCAATAAAATGGTCCTTGAATTCTATCTTCTGCCAATTCACGACATAGCGTGACCATTTCGCAATGTCTTCTTAGATGAGTTACTACCTCACCTTCAACTTGCTGTAGCCTACTGGTCACGGCTTCCCACGAGAACCTCAGGTTAACTGCCTGAATAGGGCCAGTCGCTAGTTAGCATCAGATTAATTTCCAAGTATTGGTTTTGTAGGGATTTTGTTTGATTGCATGGAGGATTTCATCATGAGCTGACATCAGTTAGAGAACGACTGGAAAAATAGTCAGTTTAAAAAAAAAATATTTTCCACTCCGTTTATGATGAAGAGCCTTGTGTTGCTGTAGTATATATCGTCTCATCTCTTTCTCTCTCCTTTTCTCTTAGAATGCAATTGTGGACAATGAAGCCCGACGTCGTGCTGAAGCCCTCCAAACTCTGAGTTCAGCAACTGGTGACGACCATGATCCACTTTCATCAATCAGTCAAATCACAGTAAATCATTTCCCGAGAAGACCAAAAGATGTAAGTATTTTGCGCCTACATTCTTTTTATTTCATCTGCCAGTGCAGGTATAAATAAAGGGACTCTCAGTGTTTGAGTTCCATTCATTCTTTAGTTTGTCATTGGTTTGTTTGTAATTTCCTTTGCCTTGCCTTCATACATCTTAATATTTATTCTCGAAGTAACACCGTTGCTTTATAAGTGGATTCTTTTCTAGTTTCAAGGGGTTAGTTCATAGTCTACCTGATTAGGACAGAGAGTGACTTTGAAATCACCTTTCAGTCACTAGAAATATGTAAATCACTGAATATTATTCATACTGATTACCTACCATTAACCAAGAAGGTAAACCTAAGAGATTTAACATCCCTAGACACTTTTTTCTCTCTCTTCATACACGCATGCTTGTGTTATTACAGCTGACTTATTATTATTAATTATTTTTACATACACTTACCCATGGTTAAAGTTGTTTTAGGTTAGATAGGTGGTAGTGAAATCAACTACAGATAGGAAGTTATGTGTAAACTGGTTGACTGTTTTGTAGTCGATGTTCTGGTTTGTTTGGTTTCGTTAGTAGCATATTCCCTCTCTTCTCCATTGCTCTAGATGATACTTGTGTCTTGAGCTCCTTTAATCTTCTACGCTATGGAATTTACACTATTAGTTAACATGGTAACCGCTATACATTGTGTAGTACACAGTATGCATTATAACTTTCTTTAACCTGTTTTCTTTTTAAATTTGTTGACTACATATCTCTCTGTTGTGTAAAGTATGTACTTGTGAAGAATATGAACCAGGAATATTCTCACTTTCATATTAGAGTAAATAATGATAAGACTATGCAATATAATCAAGACTGATATATAGCGCTGGAAATTGTAAAGGGTAGTAATTATGTATGAATACTACCAATTTTTAGCAACACGTACGTAGTTTAAAGGACAAACAGAACTGCTGATGTTATATTTTTCATTCCATCCTATGACTACTTTGTATTGACGTGTAAAACCACCACTGTCTGTCTGGATTCAGCATAGAACTTGGCACCGAAGTGCTGCAGCAGTTCGAGTTGCCACGTTCCAAATAGCACACAAAGGTAGACAAGAAGATGAGAGTGAAGAGAATCAATAGAGTTTTGACAAGTATAATAAGAGTGAAACAGAATGAGTAATGGTAGAAAGGAATATGAAAGATTACAGAGATTGAATACATCTGCGTAAGCCATTGACAACGATTTTGAGCCATGTCACCTATTTGACTCCAGCCATTGATTCTTAGAATGTTTACAAATACATCACACAAAAATACCATCCTCATGTAGAAAATACCAAACTGGACCACTATCTCTGGCGTAGGTGCCACATCCGGCTATCAACCAAGGGACTTGTGTACTGCTCAGCAGTTCGCTCAGTCCTTCTCTATGGCTCTGAAACACGGCCAATATGAGTTGAAGACATGAAAAGGTTGACTGTTTTCGGTCATAGATGTCTACGATCTCTTTCTCACGTTAGGTGAGTAATGTTGACGTTAGGCGTAGAGTGTTGGGCAAAGAGAGAAAATCAATCGAAGAGGCTATGAAGTTACATAGATTGAGATGGCTAGGTGACGTGCTGCGCATGCCTAACCATCGCCTCCCCCACCCCGACGGGCATTACTAGCTGATATAGGTGCAGGTTGGAGAAGAGTAATTGGTGGCCAAACAAGAACATGACCTCATCAATCCATGAAATCCCTGACAGTTAAACTGAGTCAGGTAGGGAGATGCAAACTTCCGGGTTGGGGCCCGCCCTCGGGACTCTAAGAATCAATGGCTGGAGACAATAGGTGACATGGCTCAAAATCGTTGTCAATGGCTTACGCAGATGTATTCAGTCTCTGTAATCTTCCATATTCCTTTCTACCATCACTCATTCTGTTCCACTCTTTTACTTGTCAAAACTCTATTGATTCTGTTCACTCTCATCTTCTTGTCTACCTTTGTGTATTCAAATATGGAACTTGGCAACTCGAACCGCTGCAGCACTTCGGTGCCAAGTTCTATGTTGAATCTAGACCAGGCCAGACCAATCAGAACACACTACAATAGTCATCTCTCCTGGGGGAAGCAAGTATGCAACAAACTACGCAACATAAACTTTCGCTTCCTTCCTTATCCAAACACTAGATACATTAAGTAGACAATTTCTAATCAACAAACCACCACTACCACCTAACATATAATTTAAATCTAACAACTAGACTGAATGACGAATGGGATGAAGGATTCAATTTAGCCGTTGGGTATATACGCACAACAGTTGAATGAATAACTTCTTGCTTTATTATTATTATTATTATCATCGTCATTATGACTAGAAATGTTGGTTGGTTGGCTCACGCCCTTTTCGTTGTTCATTAATAACTACTATACTGCCTTTTAATCCTTCTTATTCCCTGCTGTATGTGCATTTGTATTTAGGAGATTCCTGTTTTGGAATTACAGGTTTGTTTAATACGTTATTTGTTCTTCTGTGCATGTTCTCATTTCATCATCAAATTCTGTAAATACTACTACCAATACTACTACTGATATTAATCTTTTTTTTAAAATCTGTTCAAATTTTGGTTTGGTAAACATAAATATATAATAATAATAAAAAAAGCTTAATACTACCGATTTTCGCATTAATTATCATAACATTGATGGCGTTTCAGTTATATTGCAGCAGCAACCAATGCAGATAAAGAGAGATTTTCCTTTTAACGATTTAAGTGGGGGAAAAACAACGTTGAATTTTAAGTTATTGATTGTCGCTTGTTAACTCGTTTTTATCAAACTCTTTATTACCATGGCTATCTATCTATCTCTTTAGTGTGAAGACATCTTTTTCCTATATACATGGTGTATAAACTCCTTTGCTGGTCAATCAGCTATTATAATGTTGAATTGTTTGAGTTTATTTTATAAAGATTTGGCAAATCTTTCGTACTTTTAATGACAGACAAAGTTTTCAAAGTGTAAAAGCTTTGCATACTTTGTCATACGTTTTATCTGAACTTTTAGCAGTCGTACACACACACACACACACACACACACACACACACACACACACACTGGGTCACATAACCTGGAGAGTTTGAATTGCTTTTATAGACTCTTTAGTGTAAGGCGAGAAATGTCTCTTCTATAAATTTCCTATATGAAGAGCGATATATATATTCGAAATGCTGTTTTATTTAAACCTTTCTTAAAGCAGTGTCTTATAAGTTGGTTTCATTACACTCATCTAAATGTGTAGAACATTTTTCGGAACTTATCTATCACTGATATAATATAATAACTTTGTATTGCCTCTGTATTCATTCTTTGTGAGTATTATAATGGGTGGAATACTTGTTACATCTTTCTTCTTGCTTTCATTTGTTTTTTTCGACTTGTTGTATTGTTCAGTTATTGCCTTTTATTGTTTGTTTGTTATTTCGAACGGTTTCAAATAAAGTCTTGAATTTGGCATTCAAATAGCGCATTTCATATATATATAGGTAGTACTGTTTTTTCATTCCTTGGCGTCCTAAAGCTTGAAATTTGAAATTCCAGTATCATTAGTATCTCATTTACTGGGTGGGGTTACTAGCCCCACACCCGACCTTCCCTTTTCCGGACTTATAATCGGCTATGGGAGGTAAAAGTGTGCGCCAGCTGGGAATCGAACCTCATACCACGTGCTTCCTAACATTAAACCACTGGCACACGAGAGTATTGCTGGATTACCTTAACTCATAACACAGAAAATCACTGTTGGCGGTATTACTATCCTCAAGTGTTAGTTTTCAGGGATTCGATTGGCTTCAGGCTTGATCACAGACATATATCAGTTAGGAAACCATTGAAAAGCCAGAAAGTGCTGGATAACTATTTGTCTTAGTTTGGGACTCTTCATTGGTTGATAGGCACTCAGAACCTTCGGGCTACGAGGCAGTTTCATTGACTACTACTAGTAACATGGAGTACTGACACACTATACTTGGTTTCGAAAATAATATCACGAAGAAAAGACTATAGCCCTGTGTGGTAAAATTGTAGGAGTAGAACGTAGCGTGTTTTCGAGTATTAATGTTTTCTGTTTGTTTCCTTACATTTGATGTCTTTGTTGAAAATTTACTCTGTCTAAGACTTTAGTCGATCATTGACTGCGGATTAACTACTTTTATTCTGGTCTCTGAATTCTTTTTTGTTGCACTAAATGATTTTTATTCAATGCAGTGCAGAAAAGGTTAGTGAAATTAGTGTTCCACTTATTCTCACCACTTAATAGGGCAGTTGAAAAATTAATTTCCTTTAGGTAGTGTGTATTACAACATTTTCCACTAGATATTTTGCAAGTGGATGTGAATTGCAACATTGTTATTATTATTTCCTTTGTTTCCGTGTGAGACATGGCGCTTCAACAACACATCTCCGCTCCACCCTGTTCCCTTCAGCTTTTTAGCGTGTTCCACCACTTTCCATAAGCTTTCATTTCCTCCTCATACGATCTTCTCAATATCACTCTCGGATGACCAACTCCTCGTTTCCCAACCTGGCTCCAATCGAGGGCTGGCCTAGCGCATAGTGTTACTACTCAACGGTGGCATACACGACTTCTATTCCATTTGTTTTTGTGTCTAGTTTCATCCAATGAATCTGTTACAATCAACAGTATGTAACTTTATTTGTTTGCATTAAACTCCAGTTAGATAAGAAAAATACTTCAAAATTGTTGTTGTTTTACGACTCAATATTTGTACATTTTCAGAAAATCCAACCTTATTCCTTTAGTATTGCATAATTTATGTCAATGAGGTAATTCATTTTGTTTTTGTTTTCTTAATTTAGTTCTGATCTTCTTTAGAGGAGCATTCATCTAAATTCTAATATTTTTTAAAATAAAATTGTAGATTTCTAGTGGGTTATTTATTGAAAAGACGAGGTGTCTTTTTCCTTTTAAAGCCAACTAACTTCCTAGTGCAGCTAATTATCTTTGCATCCAATCTCT